TTTACCTGGAAAAGGGTTTCGGGGTCAAACGCCCCCGCGGCCCGGTCTTTGTGACCAGGCCTCCTGGTGGACCCCGCCTGATAAACCCGGCTGTTTTGCTGCGGTGCACGCCCCAACGTCGACCCACAGCCCGGCTGACAGGAATGATTTAGGTGCTTGTCCAGTGCCAGCTTTAAGGCTGCAGGGGTTGTTGGTAAACCCCCTTATGTGTGTGGGAGGGATGGGGGACATCACCGTCCTATCCGAAAGAATTTGTTTCCTCCAACTACAGCTCCCATCCACTCCTGACCCCCCAACAGCCCGTCCATCCTGACCCCCAACGCCCCCACCCATCCTGACCCCCCAGCAGCCCGATCCACTCCTGACCACCCGCAGCCCCATCCACCCTGACCCACCGCAGCCCGATCCCAAACCCGACTCACAAAAGCCCCATCCAATCCTGACCCCAAAAAAGCCGACCAATTGACCCCCAAATAGTCCCTCCAACCTGACCCACCGCAGCCCCATCCACTCCTGACCCACCAGCAGCCCCATCCAATCCTGCCCCCCAGCAGCCCCATCCCCCTGACCCCCCAGCGCCCGATCCACTCCGACCCCCCATGCCCGACCCCTCCCGATTCACCGCAGCCCGATTTCCCCCGACCCACCACAACCCCATCGTACAAAAACCGGCGATAAAAAATGTTGGTGCCCCCATCTGGACCACCACAGTATGTCTAGATTGAGGCCCGGGGTTCCTTCCTGGGCTGACAGAGTAAGTCATAAACGCCTAAAAGTGGCCACGTTTTTGACCCGGGAGCAAGGTACCCCACTAAAGGGGAGGTATTAAAACCATGTCACAGATCCCCACACTTTTAGGACTATCCCGGATTTTCATTTTGTGCTGCTGGGGGGGAAACTGCTGCTGTACAGTGCTCTGTGAGAAGAGTTGTGACCTTTTTGTTGCTGGGGGACCATCCACCACCTCCCTGGGCCCAGACCGCCGTGTTTTATCATGCGCTACCCATCTCTAAGTGTTCTGCAGTCAAGACACCCCGAAACATGCTGAGACAAAGCATGGCACTGGGGGGAGGCACTGTGCAGTGTTTTCCAGTGGTTCTGTCGACCCTGACAGGAAAGAGAGCAGAGCTGGACTGACCCAAAAGGACACACAAGGTGGCGACTCCCTGACCACTGCCGACCTTCAAGTGAGTGGTGGCGATTCAGCAGGGTTGTAATGCCCTTCGACATCGCTCGATTCATCATTTGATTCCACCTCTGCAACAATGCCCTCTCCCCCCCCTCAACCACGGTAATGTTCACCTCATCACTCGATCCTGAGCTAATGACAGCCCTTTGAAGTTTAGGGTAAAGATTTGACTTGAACTGGATCCCCAGCCATGTGGCATCCCGGGGAAATGAGGCGGAGGGGATGCAGCCAAAGGCAGCAACGACATCCCCTGTTGGGTTACTGTCCAATAGCCTCGACAAAACCCAAAATGGGGCTGCCAGAGCCACGAAACTTATGGGGGGGGGTCTTAGGTGATTTTCCCCTCTAACAGTGTACCGGCAGCGACTCAGGGGGAACCCCCCCCTATGAAGAAGCTGGTCCAGAGCAGGGTTTTTACCCCCATCCTCGGCTTCGTTTGGGCTTTCCCACAGCCAGATGTGGTAGACAAGGTGAGGAGGAGATGTGCCTACTGCGCACGTTGTCCCGCGGCCCCAACACACTATTTCTAGGTGCGAAGCTATGAGACACTCCGAGGCAATAGGGGGTGATATTCCCTCGAAAAGGACCCAGAGAGGACTGCGGCCACACTAGTGTACCATGGGGTCAACGAACCAGACAAGCTGTTACCTGTGATAATGACATATCCTCCTCCTCGCTAGTGTCCATAGTTACATATGGTGTCGCTTATGAGATGCACCAGTTGAACTGACCAGAGGGGCGCTTGAGCGGCATGCATCGCATCATTGTGGAAACCTTTCTCCATTGGGAGCCAGAGACGGGTCATCGCAAGATTGGGACTTCGTGCCAGGACTATGGTCTTGGCGAACATTATACATACATACACCCCAGGTAGATCTGTTGGTGACTTGAAAAAGCCCACTGTGTGGGTGAAACGTAGTCAATAAAGGATCACATTATACTGCATATGTGTATATTTCCATTGTGTCGGTATTTTATACCATTTATTTCCATCCAATCCTGACCCACAAACAGCCCGATCCAATCCTGACCCACAAACAGCCCGATCCAATCCTGACCCACCAACAGCCCGATCCACTCCTGACCCACCAGCAGCCCGATCCACTCCTGACCCACCACAACCCGATCCACTCCTGACCCACCACAACCCAATCCACTCCTGACCCACCACAACCCGATCCACCCCTGACCCACCAGCAACCCGATCCACTCTTGACCCACCACAACCCGATCCACTCCTGACCCACCAGCAACCCGATCCACTCCTGACCCACCAGCAACCCGATCCACTCCTGACCCACCAACAGCCTGATCCACCCCAGGCCCACCAACAGCCCGATCCACTCCAGGCTCACCAACAACCCGATCCACTCCAGGCCCACCAACAGCCCGATCCTGGAGGTTACCTGGAGGTTATTCCGGGGATCAATGCTCCCGCGGCCCGGTCCATGAACAGGCCTCCCGGTGGATCAGGGCCTGATAAAAAAAAAAAGGATGAACAATAGTTTAAAAATATCTGTTTGGTCAAAAGAAGGAATATAGGCAAATCAAAAGAGGAGAGGGGCAATTAAGAAATCGATATATTCAGTTAAAGAGAGAAATAAAAAAGGGAATTAGAAAAGCAAAAAGAGATTATGAGGTGGGTCAGGATTGGATCGGGCTGTTTGTGGGTCAGGATTGGATCGGGCTGTTTGTGGGTCAGGATTGGATGGAAATAAATGGTATAAAATACCGACACAATGGAAATATACAATATGCAGTATAATGTGATCCTTTATGAGCCATACCCCGGTGCCCCGGCATGACTTTAGGTATTGCCCAGCTCTTCTTGCCATCAATACCCCCGATCCCCCTGCCAAAACCAGCAGCCTGTCCACCCTGACCCCAGCAGCCGATCCACTCCTGACCCCCCAGCAGCCCGATCCACCCCTGACAAACGCAGCCGATCCATCCTGACCAACCCAGAGCCCGCCCACCCTGACCACCGAACCCGACCCACTCTCCCCCAAACCAGGCCTGATCCTTTTCTGACCCCCAGCAGCCCGATCCACCCCGGGACCCCCCAGCACCCCGACCCCTTTCTGACCCACCAGAGCCCGACCCACTCCTGACCCACCAGCAGCCGATCCACCCCTGACCCCCCAAACAGCCCGATCCATTCCATCCCCCCAACAACCCGATCCACCCCTGACCACCAACGTCCGATCCTTCCGACCCACCAGCAGCCCGACCCACTCCTGATTCCCCAAAAAACCCGATCCATTCCAGGCCCACCAACAGCCGATCCTGGAGGTTTTTCCCGGGGATCAATGTCCCGCGGCCCTGCCAGACTAGGCCTCCGGGGATCGGGCCTGATCGCCAGGCGTTATGTGGTGCACGCAGTCCAACGTATGAGCCATAGCCCGGCTGATCCGGCATGTTTAGGTATTGTCCAACTCTCTTTGACCCCCGCGCCCGATCCCTTGATCAACAGCAGCCCGATCCATCCTGACCAACCAGCGGGCCCGATCACCCCGGGACCCCCCAGACCCCATCCCTCCTGCCCCCACCAGCAGCCGACCCACCCTGATCCACCAATACCCTGATCCTCTCCGCCCCACCCCCCCCGCCGACCCCTCCTGATCACCGCCCCCGACCCACTTCTGACCACCACAACCGATCCACTATGACCCCCCAACACCCCGATCCCTCCTGCCCCTAAAAACAGCCCGACCATTCCTGACCCACCAGCCCCCCGATCCACCCCGCCCCAAAGCAGCCCGATCCACCCCTGACCCACCAGCAGCCCGCCCCTCCTGACCCCCCAACAGCCCGATCCACTCCTGACCCACCAATAGCCTGTCCTCTCCAGACCCACCAGAGCCCGATCCATCTGATCCACCAGCAGCCATCATCCTGACAACAGAGCCCGATCCACCTGACCAACCAGCAGCCGATCCATCCTGACCAACAGCTGCCGATCCATTCCTGACCCATCCAGCAGCCCGATCCACTCGACCCCAGCAGGCCCGGATCACTCCTGACCCACAGCAGCCCGATCACTCTGACCCACAACAGCCGATCCACTCTGACCACCATGCTGGATCCTCTCAACCCACAGCAGCCGATCCACTCCTGATCCACCAGCAGCCCGATGCACTCCTGACCAACCAGCAGCCCGATCCACTCCTGACCCACCAGCAGCCCGATCCACTCCTGACCCACCAGCAGCCCGATCCACTCCTGACCCACCAGCAGCCCGATCCACTCCTGACCCACCACAACCCGAGCCACTCCTGACCCACCACAACCCGATCCACTCCTGACCCACCACAACCCAATCCACTCCTGACCCACCACAACCCGATCCACTCCTGACCCACCAGCAGCCCGATCCACTCCTGACCCACCAGCAGCCCGATCCACTCCTGACCCACCAGCAGCCCGATCCACTCCTGACTCACCAGCAGCCCGATCCACTCCTGACCCACCAGCAGCCCGATCCACTCCTGACCCACCAGCAGCCCGACCCACTCGCCTGCCCAGCCAGGTAGCCACCACACCCAGTACATCACCTGAATATCACGACTCAAACCTCTGAAAAAGAAATTGAAATAGACAATCCGTGCCAGGACAATAATGACTTGGCACGGGTCTTAATCTTTCTTATATCGTTATTTATCCCCATCATCTAAGTCTGTTCAGTTCTTTTTGCGAACACTAAAGGCCCCAGTACTTGACCTCTGATTCTCAGAGGCATTATTTGATCCCAACGGGTTTAGCGCTCCCCCATGAATATAAGTAAACCAGAAGGCAAAGTGAACTGACTTACCAGCATCGTCGCTGTATTCTGGTGTAAGAGGCTTGGGGCGGTCAACACTGTCAGGCTTGGATGGCAAGTTATGTTTCTTGGGGAACAGCCAGGCAAAGCAACCGGATTCTTTACAGTTGGACAGCGTGTTTCCCATCCTGGCTGTCTTAAAGATAGTCTGCTAGGATACACTGCTGTAACAGCTACTAGACAGGGTTGCTAAGTGCGGTGAACGTCCACTCAAAATTTCCTTGTAACAATAGTACGGTACAGTGATATGAAAATATATTCAAGACAGCTAGGACCAATGTCCCGCAGGTTCTTACACTTCCTTTGAAAAACACAACTCTTAACAATTATTTAAGAGCGGTGAAGCAAACTTAACAAGTGACGGAGTAACAGAGTGAAGGAGCGTGGAGGACACTAGCACTGTGAGCTAGTGTGGGCTGCCAACTGTTGAGTGAGTGTGCTGGGCAGGACCAGATTACTGTCCCTCCCGCCCGACCTGCCCACAACTATGCCATCACAGTTGCCAGTGTGCTCTTATTTCCTTAGTTATTTGAACGTGTACAGTGTACCTGATAGTCTCTCTCGCTTATTTGGACTCTCATTTCCATTACTTGCTTGTATCTGGAAAAAATAGAAAAAGCTATTCTTTTAGAGGACATTAGGCACTGGTTGTGAATGAAATTCCTCGTGGTTATGGATGAGTCTAGTATAACTGGCATACATTTATATTACAGTGAATAAAAAGTTATGTATCACGAATATCATATATGGCATGGTTTCCCTTGTCCCCCCCACCCTCTCTCTCATTCATCCTTTATATATACTACGTTTCGTTACAGTCTGCGTTAGTTTAATATCTTCATTATGCACCCATACCCATCCTGTGGGTGGTAGTCAAAAGATTACAGAGGTACATAATAGGTCGAGGGACTGGGCTTTAATGTACTGGTAGCTAAGTGAGTTACAGCAGTGGTGAACTATTTACAAGTTTACAAGAACAGAAGAGGGAGCACTGTAGGAGGTCGCTTAACACCCACCAACACCAACACATTTATCAGTAATAAAGTTGGTAGAATTACCGACAATATGTAAAGTAAAAGGACACAAGTGCAACTAATGTGACATTTATTGTGGCAACGTTTCGCTCTCCAGGAGCTTTATCAAGCTCCTGGAGAGCGAAACGTTGCCACAATAAATGTCACATTAGTTGCACTTGTGTCCTTTTACTTTACATTTATCAGTGATAAATGATTATGAAAACCGACAGTTGAAGATTGATATACTTATACAACATATGGGAATCTTTATTAAGGGAACGTTTCGCCACACAGTGGCTTCATCAGTCTCATACAAAGCAGAAATGGGTAAGGAGAGGAGGAGTTTGAGGTAATCAGTCCCTCAGCCTGGAATCGATGTGTTAGCTCATACACAGCTTGCTCTTCTTGTTTTCTCCAATTTCGTCCCACGAGCGCCTAGCAGCTGGGTTAAGCCCTGGCTATGTTTCTTCGACTGTGGACACTCCTCTCCACCGATATTCTTCGACTATCCCGTCTTCCCAGCTCACCCCACATGGGGTCTTACCTAAACTCTCTTGATCCTGAAGAAACTTCTGGGCACCCCTGGATCAACATACGCTACCGTCACCCCTGTTTGTCAGGTGTCCCTCCCGATCATCCGAACAATCAACCTTTCCTTCACTACCATGGATCCATCATCTATCAGGAAGACATCACCTAACCTGTCTTCTGTTTGTCCACCTATAGAACGCTTCCATCCCAGGAACATTTAACGCAGTAGCCAACGCTATCATCGATCTTAATAACCTCCCAGAAATTAAGTTCTGAGGGTGTGAGTTAGACCTGATAGCTTGTGCTACCAGGTCGGTTGCCGTGTTCCTCCCTTAAGTCAATGTGACCTGACCTGACTAGGTTGGGTGCATTGGCTTAAGCCGGTAGGAGACTTGGACCTGCCTCGCATGGGCCAGTAGGCCTTCTGCAGTGTTCCTTCGTTCTTATGTTCTTATGTTCTTAAGTCGACTCCAAGAACCACCACCCGTCTGGTATACATATCCTGGAATCATTTGCGCCTGTGGATACTGATGTACTCATCCCTAAAGCAACCAAACCCACTACCGTCCCTGCCGTCTCTGCACCCACTACTGGTACTTCAATCCAAGAAATACAAAACGCTACGGTCGTACCCCACCGTGGTTGCTGAAGCCTTCACCAGCAGTTACCCCAATGGGTAACGGCTGATGAAGGCTTATTTCACTCTTTTTGCTAATAAATCAATCAAGTTTATTAATGCGGGGTTTACAGATTTTGGATATTGTGTGGTTTACATTTTATAAAATACTAATTACAGAGGGGGCCACTATGACACCTAGCATGGCTAGGCATTTCGGGCACACTTAGAGTAATTCTTAACTCTAAAATATTACAGATTATGGAGTAAGTTGGTATTAAGGCTAAGTGACTACATTATAGTTTGTGAATTTAGCAATGTGAATGCTTTTGTTTTGGTACAATACATAGTTTCTATATTGGAGTATCACAGGCAAACTTATGACTAGTTAGGATTTATTAGTTTAAGATTAAGATTCGTATTTCTGAGTTTATAGCCAAATGGGTGAGTGAAAGTGTGAACCACCAGGTGGTTTTCATGTAGTTAGTTGACGGGGTGTATCAGGGAGATATGTTTTCTAACGGTACATTTGAAAGTGATGAATGTGACTGCAGTTCTAGAGTTTTCTGGTAGAGTGTTCCAGATTTTAGGCCATTTGATATACACTGAATTTTTGTAAAGGTTTAGTCGGACATGGGGAATGTCATAGAGATGTTTGTGTCTGGTGTTATGCCTGTGGGTCCTGTCACAACTATCAAGAAAGCGTTTTAGGTCAAGGTTAATATTGGAATTTAAGGTCCTGTAGATGTAGATTGCACAGTAGTAAGTGTGAATGTTCTGAACAGGAAGTAAGTTGCCAGGGTGTGTTGCCAGGGATGGGATTTAGTGATTATTCTTACTGCGGCTTTAGGTGTGTTGCCGCAGTTGATCTCCAAGCACAAATAGCATAGGTGAGGTATGGATAAATGAGTGAATGGTATAGTGTGAGAAGGGCAGTTTGCGGCACGAAGTATCTTATCTTGGAGAGGATCCCAACTAATGTAAAAGGAGTCAAAGAAGAAATCATCACTAGCACAGAGAACCAAAAAGCTGACGACCACGTCCTCGGACTTAATTTATCCACTCATTTTCGTGTACACTATGAAAGGTCTTACTGAAATCCATATACAAGATATAATTTTCTTTATCTTCGTCTACCGCCTCAAATACCTTAGTAAAAAAGTTAGTAAATTTGTGAAGCAGAAACGCCCCTTCGTAAAACCGTGTTGTGATTCATTGATTGAATTATATTTTTCAAGATAGTTTGAATTTCGTCTGCAGTTATTGATTACATTGCCTACTGAAGTTAGGCTTATCAGTCTATAGTTTAAAGTTAACGATCTATCTCCTGATTTGTAAATAGGTATCACGTTTGCCAATTTCCACTGAACTGGTACGATATCCTTTTGTAGTGATTTGTTGAAGAGACTTGCTAACTGTTTACTAAGTTTCTCTTACATGCCTTTATAACCCTAAAGCCAGTTTGTCAGGGCCAGGTGACTTGAATGATTTTATCCTGTTGGACGATCATGTCGTTGGCGACTTGATCTTGTACAATTTATATCTATACTGACCTGTAAAATTATTGATTTCTGGGTTTTTATTTGTGCCCTTTTGTGTAAAAACAGAAAGGAAATAAGTGTTAATAAGAATACACATTTTTTTGTTACTGACTGTGAGCCGACCTGAGTTACATTTAATTGACCTATCTTTTCCTTACTCTTGGTCTCATATACATGAAAGAAACCCTCACACTCGTTCAGCTTGATCGACACCATGCCTAACCCTTCTAGGGTAGGGTAGGTGCCTGAGCCCGAGCCTTTAGCTCATAAGACTGTCATTCCCATTTGCCCCCTTGGGGTGGGGATGGCAGACCAGAGAGGCCTAGCTTGTGGCTAGGCCTGGGGACAATTGGTCCCAAAGATGAGGAGGTACTTATGCCTCCTCCCATGGGAGACTTAGGTCTCAGACACTCCCTAAAGAGGGAGTCAAGGCCGGGCCACCACTTGGACAAGGCCCGGGCCGGGAGACTACCGGCTAATCTTTAACTAACTAACTCGTTCAGCTTCACAATCTCTTTTAGTCTCTTATTCCTTTTTATGTATCCCTCTTAAAGTGAATATATTGGTCTGTAAGGTGACCCTCTCCTTTGGTTTGCCTGTAATTGCCTTTTTACACTGAAAATATATTTAAGTCTGTCATTCATCTATTTATGTTCATTTATATTTGATTTAATTTCTCTGTTAAGAATATATGTGCAGTGAGCAGCTTGTACTATGTTCTGGAAAATGTCGTATTGGTAACTATCACCCCCGTGTGTCAGGTGTCCGTCCTGATAGTCCCGGGAGGTGACCCCCGTGTGTCAGGTGTCCGTCCTGATAGTCCCGGGAGGTGACCCCCGTGTGTCAGGTGTCCGTCCTGATAGTCCCGGGAGGTGACCCCCGTGTGTCAGGTGTCCGTCCTGATATCCCGAGAGGTGATCCCGTGTGTCAGGTGTCCGTCCTGATAATCCCGAGAGGTGACTCCCGTGTGTCAGGTGTCCGTCCTGATAATCCCGAGAGGTGACCCCCGTGTGTCAGGTGTCCGTCCTGATAATCCCGAGAGGTGACTCCCGTGTGTCAGGTGTCCGTCCTGATAATCCCGAGAGGTGACTCCCGTGTGTCAGGTGTCCGTCCTGATAATCCCGAGAGGTGACCCCCGTGTGTCAGGTGTCCGTCCTGATATCCCGGAGGTGACTCCCGTGTATCAGGTGTCCGTCCTGATAATCCCGAGAGGTGACTCCCGTGTGTCAGGTGTCCGTCCTGATAATCCCGAGAGGTGACTCCCGTGTGTCAGGTGTCCGTCTGAAATCCCGAGAGGTGACTCCCCGTGTGTCAGGTGTCCGTCCTGATAATCCCGAGAGGTGACCCCCGTGTGTCAGGTGTCCGTCCTGATAATCCCGAGAGGTGACCCCCGTGTGTCAGGTGTCCGTCCTGATAATCCCGAGAGGTGACCCCCGTGTGTCAGGTGTCCGTCCTGATAATCCCGAGAGGTGACCCCCGTGTGTCAGGTGTCCGTCCTGATAATCCCGGAGGTGACTCCGTGTGTCAGGTGTCCGTCCTGATAATCCCGAGAGGTGACCCCCGTGTGTCAGGTGTCCGTCCTGATAATCCCGAGAGGTGACCCCGTGTGTCAGGTGTCCGTCCTGATAATCCCGAGAGGTGACTCCCGTGTGTCAGGTGTCCGTCATAATCCCGAGAGGTGATCCCAGTTGACATTGTTCAGATAATACTTCATCCCAGTAAAGTCGGCGGCACTAAAATCAGGGACTTAAATT